CCACAGCCCCAGCTGCTCGGTGCCAGTCCCAGCGCTGTGGGCCCAGTTTGCTGCCGGCACCCGAGTCTCTGCGGGGCTTGGCACAGGCCGGGGGCACCTGAGGGCAGTGCCTCTGCCTGGAGCCAGGTCATCTCCCTCGGAAGCATAGCTGTTCGGTGCAGCGGGGCTTGGAACAGGAAAGGCGGGCCGCCAGCCAAGCTCTGCTGCCTCGGACTCGCTACCCGGGGGCAGGTGACCGCTGCTCCTGGGGGTGGGTTCCCAGCAGGAGGCTTGGTCTCCATGCCAAGACCCAGGGGGCCAGGCTGACCCTTCCTCTGATCCAGACCGCGCTGCCTTGCAGGAGCTGGTCGAGTGGGTGCTGGAGGAGGTGGCCCAGAAGTCCCGTGCGGTGGGAGCCCAAGGCGGCCCCCTCATCCTGGAGGTGGGCTGTGGGTCGGGAGCCATCTCCCTCAGCCTGCTGAGCCAGCTGCCCCAGGTGAGCGTCCTCAGCACCCCTCCCCTCCCAGGAGACTGGCTGGTACTCACTGGCCCTGCCCCCGTCTCTGCCAGGAGCCCTGGAGGGGCAGCTACCAGGCTTAGGGCAGCCCAGCCCGCCTGGTCACAGCCTCCACCTCCCATACCTTCTGTCTGGCCAGGCCCTGGCGCAGGGAGGGGAGAGGTGTGGGTATCCCTCCTTCTCTGGCCGGGGCTGGTGAGGCTGTGGTCCCAGGCCTGGCCTCTCCCAGCACCTGCCTCCCATGTGCCCTTCACTTGTTCTTGGGGCAGAGCCGAGTCATTGCTGTGGATAAGGCAGGAGCCGCCATCTCCCTGGCCCGAGAGAACGCTCAGAGGTAGGCGGGCTCAGGGACAGGAAGGTCAGGGTGCGGGGCACGGGGCTCGGGCCTGATCTCAGCCCCTGCTCAGGTAGCAAACCCACCGACGTCCACTCCCGAGAAGGGGAAGGCACTGGGGCAGCCTGGCTGGCTCCCAGGGGGATACAGTGGATCGTGGGCCCAGGGGTCTCACAGCCCGGGAAGGGCTTATCCTCCCAGGCCTCGTAGCCAAGGGTAGGAGTCTGCCCTGTGCTCAGCCCTTCCCATCTCTCCAGGCTTCAGCTGCAGGACAGGATCCGGATCGCGCCCCTCGATGTGACCTTAGGTACCTTCCTCACCCACCTTCCCTGGGGTGGGGCCCTGCGGACAGGGCTGCTGGGTGGATGAGGCCGTCTGCAGAGCTGGGGGAGGCTTCCCAACACTTATTCTCTCACACACACACACACACACACAAATACATGTACACACATGCACACGCACATACATGCACACGTGCGCACATGCATGCACACAAGGGGTATTAGACCAATCCTTGCTGAGGACAGGCCAGTCCCTGTTGCCTCCTGGGCTGACCTGACCCTGGAGGGGACCAGCCCTAGGGTTTTTCTTATCTTCCAAATCCCTGTAACTAATGCGTTATCTAGCGCCTGCTTTGTTGTCAAGAGATAAGCAGAAGCTCAAGAGAAATCCTTTAAGACAGAAATACTTGAGTGCCCCTCTGGTCCCTGGCCCAGGCACCGCAGGCTGAGGGCTGAGGGCCTGGGCACTGACCGGCAAGTCTGGCTTATCGGGTCCAGAGATAGGCTCCCTGGAGAGGGGTGACCCAGGGGCATGGTGGTGGGCGGAGCTCCACTCTTACCTCCCATTCTCTGCTGGGTTCCCTGTGACCACAGAGGGCAACTGGGCACACCTTCTGCCCTGGGGCCCCATGGACCTGCTCGTCAGCAACCCTCCCTACGTCTTCCACCAGGACATGGAGCAGCTGGCCCCTGAGATCCGCAGGTGCGGGGTGGGGTGGGACGGGCCGGCCTGAGGGCGAGTGGGATGGGTCTGCCCTGGAGGACCACTGTGGGGGTGGGGGAGGGATGGAGGAGAGGCTGAGGGGTGCTGTCGGTGGAAGAGAGCTCACTCCAGAGCCCACAGACCCACTTGGGTTTGGCTTCTGCCTTCCTGAAGACCCTGGACAACCGCTGGCCTCTCTGAGCTCAGTTTCCTGCCTCTGAAAGGGGGCGGCCGAGCTTTGCAGGCCACGGAGGGCTCAGCGGTGACACTGCAGAATGTCAGACAGAACAGAATGCATCGAAGGCGCTCGTTTTACAGAAGACTGAGGCCCAGAGGGGGAAGGCGCCTTGCCCCAGGTCATGGGGGACTTAACAGGAAAGCTGAGACCAAAACTACTTCCGGCTTTGCATTGAGCCATCCTGTTCTCCATTGGGCTGAGACCCACCCGGGCAGTGGCCGTGGGTCAGGGTGCTGGCTCCCCTTCCCAGGCTCCCAGGGTGGGCAGGGCCAGCCCCAGGTCTCCCCAGACCCAGAATAGGGGCAGCGTGTTGTGGGGAGACAGGCTCACGCCCGGGACACTGCCTGGTGTGCGCTGCCCGTAGTCCATCGGGGGAGCTGGAGCTGCCGGCATCTGGGGCCTCCTCTGGGCCCTCAGCCGTCCTCTCGGCCCAGCGTGCAAGGGCACGGGCCCCTCGTGGAGGCTCTGCTCAGCTCTTGCACACTTTCCCGTGCGCCTGTCCCGCTCTCACCCCCTGCTCCCCTCAGCTACGAAGACCCCGCAGCCCTGGATGGCGGGGAGAAGGGCATGGACGTCATCGTGCACCTCCTGGCCCTGGCCCCTCGGCTCCTGAAGGACTCCGGGTAGGGAGGGGACGGGTCCCCTGGTCAGTGTGTCCTGCGCCTGCCCTGGTGGTCACTCAGCCCTGCCCGGCTGAGCTGGCCCTTTTCTCCCCCATGTAGAAGCCTCTTCTTAGAAGTGGACCCCAGACACCCAGAGCTGGTCAGCAGCTGGCTTCAGAGCCGGCCGGGCCTGTCCCTCGAGCTCGTGGCTGTGCGCAAGGACTTCTGCGGGAGGTGAGGCTCCCCTCCCCCAGCCCCACAGCCACCGGTCCTTCCACTGGCCCATGGGCTCCGGCTTGGGGACAGGGTGCTGTTCCCACTCCCTGCTCCTCCCCGGGCCCAGGCAGTGACTGGCTCCTTGTTGTTATGTCCTAGGCCCCGGTTCCTGCATATCCAGAGGTCTGGGCCGCACGGTGGCTGCCCTGTGGACACCTGGCCAGCGCCCCAGCCTGCCGGAGTGCCCGGATGACACTTCCTCCTGGACTGCTCCTGGGAGAGGTGGGCGCCTTCCAGAGCTGGTGCTGGCGCATTTCCACGGCTCTGGGTGCCCTGCTCTCCATTTTAGGAGACTTGGGGCAAAAGGAAGGGCAGGGGTGTCCTTCCTGCTTCCCGGGGCAGCAAAGAGCAAGGGCACCCCCAGTCCAGCTCTGGAGCTGAGGGACCCAGGTGCCCAGTCTGGCTCCGTCCCACCGGCAGGGCCAGTGCAGCTGCTTAGCGTCTCTGGTGGGACAGCTCGGGAGCGGGGAGAGCTGGCCAATAAAGTGTCAAGGGCGGACATGGTGGCCCGATGTGTTGTCACCTTGGTCTGTGGGTCCTCTGACCCCTCGCCCAGCAGTGTGCATGGGAGCGGTGTGGAGGGCGGCACCCAGGTGTTCCTGGCCTCGCATGCCGGGCCCTCCACCACCCGGCCGAGTTCCCACGCTTCCCTGCAGACCTGGGAGTGACCTCCCCGCAGCTCTGGTCTGTGCAGACGCGTGGCTGCCAGGGGCCTGGAGGGAACCTACAGGTTGGCAGGTGCTGGTGGAGCCTGTACCAGGGGGTTCAGAGGGACCTGGCAGCCAGGCGGGCTCGTCCATCACACTCCCCTCCCTCCCGGTGACTGCAAGGGCCTGGCCTGCTGGTGCCTGTGGCTGGTGGCAGCATTCTCTGCTGGAGCAGGATGCTGGGTTCTGGGATTGTCTTGCGTGGGACCTTGGGTAGCAACTTTGAGACGCTGGCTCTTCTGGTTCCCGGGCCAGAGGCGGCGCAGCCTCCTGTGCTCTCTCAGCTAGGTGGAGTGTGTAGCTGGCATCGAGTACCCACTCCCTGGGCAGGGACTCCACTTCATGGCTGTTCCGGAAGGAACCTGGGAAGGCTGGGCGGGGACCAGCCGAGCGAGGCTCTGGCCTCCTGTGCCCTGTGCTCCGCCTCTGCCCGCGGGTCCTCGCCAGCGCTGCCCTCCCCTCCTCCTGTGCCGTGGGCTTCCCTGACCAGCAGTTGGTGTCCCCTGTCCCCCAGCCGGGGCCACACCTCGGCTGGTGCTGGCTCCCCAGAAGCTCGCCCTCCTGACCGCAGGCCCATCGCTGAGGGAAGGGAAGGCCTTGGCAAGCATGGCCGCCAAGGAATAATGATGCAGAAGACAGCGTAGGGACCGCTGAGGTCACTGAAGCAGGAGCCACCCTTGGGACAGCGTCCTTCCCAGAAAGCCGAAAAGCTGGACTCCCCCAGGAAACAGGCCCAGCCAAGTAGACTGGCAGGGCGGGGCCTCCAGCCGCAACCGCTGGCCCGGTGGGGCCTTGGACATGGAGCTCCATGTCGGAGCCACACCAGCCTGGGTGCAGGTCCCAGCCTCTGCCCCTCCCCACGGTGTGGCCTTGGGCAGATGCCTTCACCTCCCTCAGCCTTGGCTTCCGAGCCTGAGAAATGGGCCCAAGCGCTTTTATCTCACGGGGGGGCGGGGGGTGAGCCTGGGACACCCTCTCGCGGGTGTTGTGCTTCAGAGGGAGCAGAGGCGGGTCCTGCGTCCTCGGGCACCTGGCGCTTGGCACCGACAGGCAGGCAGAGACTCGGAACTCTGCAGGGAGGGGAGGCGGGGTTTCAGTCTTGGGTTCAACTTCTCTGCCTCTGGAGCTGGAGCCACAGGAAGCTGGCAGCCCAGCAGCGGGTCTCCCCACCGCCCCTCCTCTCCCTCCTCACCAGGGCGCAGAGCTCTGAGGTCCAGGCCAGAGCAGCTGGTGGCTCCAGCCCGGGGAAAGCAGGCCACCGCCCATCTCCGCCCCCCCCCCACCCCCCCCACCTCCCCGCCTTGTCCTGGAGCCGGAGCTAGAGACGCTGCCTCCTTTGGCCCTGGAGGTGGGACAGGCCGAGGTGGCCCCTGAGAGACGTGTCTGCTGCCCACTCTGCCCTCCAGCAGAGCCCTGCGTGGGCAGAGGGCGCCAGGGTCTGATGGCGTGCTCGGGGTGGACAAGCCTGTCCCCTCTGACAGCTGGGGAAGCAGACCGCCTCCCAGTTGGCTGTCTCCCAGCTGCCCATGGGTTTGTCTGCGGGATGCATCTGGTTGCTTTACTGAACCCTTCCTGCTCTCGCCCACTCCCACCTGGGCCCAGGGCCGTAACTCCCCAATCCCTGCCGTAAACCCTGGCCGGCTCCCCGGCTCCCCGTGACTGCACGGGGGTCAGTGGCCTGCAGAGCCCAGGTCTGAAGAGGTGGAGGAGGAGGTGCTGGGAAAGGCCCGGCCCGCCCCAGGCCCTCGGCGCTCTGCGCAAGCTCCTGGCAGAACAGGGCCCGGCCAGCCTTAGGCCACCGCAGCCCTGCGGGTGTCCATCCCTGGCCGCTTGTGGATTCTTTTTGTTTGTTTTGTTAATCCCACCCCGAGGACATTTTCCATTGATTTTTTTAAAGAGAGTGGAAGGGGGCTGGTGAGAGAGAGAGAGAGAGAAAGGAAGAGAGAGACACATCCATTGGTTGCCTCCCACACTTGCCCCAACGGGCTGGGATCAAACCTGCAACCCCAGTATGTGCCCGTGACCAGGAGTCAAACCGTGAGCCTCTGTGCACAGGCTGACGTTCTAACTGCTTAACACGCTGGCCAGGCCACTTCTGGACTCCTCTGCTGCCCCAGACGCGGGCCTTACTGCAGAGCTCCATTCCCAAGCCATGCCTCCCTCCCTTCGCCCAGCCCAGGCGTCTGTCAGCAGCGCTCTTGCACCCCCCCTCCCCCGCTGCCATCTGAATCACACTCCTTCGGGCTCACCTCGGGACACCTCCGGACCTCTGTTCTCCCGGCCAGCCCCTGGCCCAAGCTTCGCCAGCACCGCGGGTGTTCCGCCCCCGGCTTTGGAAACCTGGCTGTCTCCTCGGGCTCCACGCGGGCCTGGCATACCCCGCGCTCAATGCATGTCACACCAGTACGTGTCACACCAGTCCGTTTCTAGAGCAGAGCTGGAACTTTCCATGAGGCTCATCTCTGACCCCACAGCAGCTCACATAGTCCCGTCAGCAGGGAGGGGAGGCCGCGAAGGCCTGGCCACTTCCAGGACCGAGTGCACCTGTCGGCACGGGCCTCGCCAGGAGCACAGGCTGTCCTTGGCAACCGCAGGGGAGGCGCCAGGCTTCCTGGAGCGCTGGGCTCCGGCCAGCGTGTGGGCCAGGACGGTGGCCTGATCATCCCTCATGGCCCCTCAGTTCTGGACAAGCCCTCTGGACAGGGCTTGGGACTGGCGAAGCAGCCCTGCCGCTCCTGTGGCCCCAAAGTCTTTGGGCCAAAGATGCCCGAGTTCCAATCCCCACACCTGCGAATGTTGCCTCCCCTGCAAGAGAGTCTGGAGGTGGGAGATGATCCTGGATTGCTCAGGGGCTCGGTGTGATCACAGGTCCTAGGAGAGGGAGGGATTGTCAGAGCGAGAGGAGATGAGAGGGTGGGAGCCGGCTGGGATGGATGCATGGCCAGAGGAAAGGCCATGGAGAGAATGCAGCCCAGCCGTCTCCAGGTGCTGGGAGAGAGGAGGGAGGGAGGAGCCTCAGAAAGGATGCAGCCCTGCCCGCCCCTGACGGCCGCTGACCGGACTCGATGCCTCCCGCCCTGTAAGAGGATGAACGCGTGCTGTGTTCAGACCGCACTTGGGGTGACGTGTTACAGCCGCCGTAGGAAACGAATGTCCACTGTGGTCCCCGGAAGGCAGTGTCGCTGCAGCAAACACCAGGAGGTGGAAGTGGCTTTGGGGTGGGAACTGGAAGTGGGCAGCGGCTGGAAGAGCTCCGAGGAGCACAGTAGGCTGCCTGGATCACTTCTCCGAGAGGCAAGACGGCGGGGGGCGGGGGGACCCTCCACCACCTGGAAGCCCAGCTGCCAGGCCCCGCCCCGAGTGTCTGACATGTGGTAGAATTGGGCAATGCTTGGAGTGAGACAATGGAAGGCGGCCAGGACCTTCAGAGCCTGGTCCTGGCCCCCTGGAGCCATGTGGCTGGCCCAGCACCCCTGGGATGTGAGGGTGAGCAGGTGCCACAGCTGAGCTGCTGGGCCTGGCCCCTCCATGTGAGCTGGGGAGGGTCCAGCTCCTTCCAGCCACCAGGAGTACCAGCCCCTGCGACAGGCCTGGACTGGGCTGAGCGGCTGGGATAGAATTGGGGTCATTCCTGGGATTCTCAGCCTCATGGTCCCCAAAGCGGAAGTGGCCAACTGGAACCTTTGACCCTGCCCCATCCAGGCTGGGACCAGGACCTCACTCCAGATGAGGGGGTCCCAGCGGTTTGAGAGTGTGGGGTGCCCTCAGGACATCCCAGAGGCAGGGTGAGGGGATGGAGGGGGCTTCTGGAGTCAGATGTGACCATGTGGGGACACAGCCCAGAGGCAGCTCTGGAGGTGGGGTGGGAAGGCCTCTCCCAGGCCTGGGCACGCCCACAGCAGGAAACAGGCATCTCCATGGCTAAGCTGGTGCAGGGGCCGCACGCTCTGCATAAACCTTCTGTCTGCCCGGCAAGGGCACCTTCCTCGGCCCATTAGACAGATGAAGAGACTGAGGCTTGGCTTGCCCAACGTCACACAACCAGGAAGTGGCCACGTTGGGGTTTGAGCCCCTCTGACATCCCAGCTGGAAGAGGGTGAGCGGGCCACAAGGCTGAGGCAACTGCAGCCCAGGGCTCAATTCCCAGGGCGCCTCCACACCCAGGTGGGCACCCCCGGAGACCCCGGAGCCCACTTGGCTTCCAGGGCAAAGGGGAAAGTGGCGAATCCGAAAGCACCTGACATGAAGCAGAGCGAGCTTCCTCCCCTCCCAGCTGCCCTGGGCACCCACCGAACTCTCAGGCCCAGCAGGGGCGGGCGGAGCCCTGGCGGGGGAGAGGGGGGCTCTCAGGAACTCTGCATGTGGGAGGGACTGGCAGACCCCAACTCCAGTTCTCAGCTGACGGGTGGTGAGGTGAGTCCCACGCAGCAGCGCTGGGCCCGGAAGCCTGCAGGTCCTGCCCAGGGGGCGTTCCAGGTGCCCAGGCCAGGAGGCGCCCGGAAGGAGCGCCAGGTGGATGCGCCCG